AGAAATCTTCATACTCACCGCTGTGAAAACCTCAAATCTTACTAACCAAGACATATCAGTTAAATAACAACAAGACTTCTTTCTGAAGTCATGCATTTAGTATTGCGCTTTGTGGTTCAATTACTGGGTGCTATGGGCTCTTTATATCATAATAGCCGGTGTGAATCGCGTTCTTTTACGGGTCCTTAGTTCAGATTTCTTTATGCCGCACAATGTCCATTAGTTAAAGCCAATGAGGTATGAGAAAGCGACTAACTTGTGTAATTGTTTGCAAAACAGTTACAAAACAATGGAACCCAATTAAAATGCCTTGATGTGATGTCCCAGATTGTTTTTTATGGTGACTTAAATTGGCACTATGAACTACTGAATATGCAGGTTATGAAGGTTATGCAGAAAACCAAACACAGCGATTTAGAACTTTGATTTTGTCGACATCAGAATGTCATTAACATCGCTGACTGTGTATGGAAGTTTGTGGAATAAATTGTTGAGTGTGTGATGGTAAAATGCTGTTTTGCAAATGACGTACTGCACTGTCTCCCAGATGCGATTGTTTAACGCACAGGGGCGGGAGACTTTGCAAGAATATCAGTTTCTTAATTTCACTTGTAATTATATTTCATTTAATCTGGTGTCATTGACAAGATAACAATAATAGAAATTAGCAGCTATCACACTGTATTTTAAATGCTATAATTATTAGTTTTGTTAACCCCTTCCGTGTGTGATAAATAGGAAATTCAGCACGTCCAATCAAACATTTACCAAGTTATGAAATCTCGGAAAGGCACAGGCCGTGTTATAAATTGAAAGACAAGGCACTGATCTTAAAAAATAAATTGTATTTATAAAAAGTGAAGATGTTCAGAACTGATGCATGTAACGCAAGAAGACAGCCATCTTCGGAACTTCAGTAAAACGTTAGTTCGAGATTTTAGTACGTCATTATTATAATATCTAAAACATTACTGAATCTCCCTCAGGTGACTTTCTTCAATATTTATAAACCATTAAAAGTCATTCAGAATTAACGTTTCCGACCCTGTAATCATAAAATAAGGGTCGTGCAAGACCTACCTTGTTGATAACTGGTTCCGCTATGTGAGGGTGTTACTTGTCGATCAGTATCAACATCCGAGACTCTGAATAACTCGTCCGACGAGAACCACGATGGGAACCCACGTGAGTTCTCCTGCAGAATGGTTCCAGCTCCTGGTACGAAGGGCGCATGCACTAATGGGGTTAGTGCCACTAAATTAAGAGCCGATAAAGTGGTCAGGAGCATAATGTCACGTGAGAACATTAACACATTTCCGGCTGAACTTGTTACTTAGTTGGAGGCAGCTGATTTACTGTGAGTCTGGTTCGAATGATTGTCCTGCTGATCAATTTCTTAAAGGTGGGAGTGACAGTGGAACTGGGCGTTTCGCGTCGTGGCGAACGGCGGAGAAAGCCGGGTCACGCAGAGCGATGCCCCAGCGGCCCTGCGCTGCGTCCACCACATGCGTTCGCCACGTCTGACAACACAGATTATGGCTCGCATTAACCCCGCAGTGTTCTGTGTGAGTGTGAAACGTACTTTTTCACTCCAAGGAAAGAACAGAGGGTTAATATTTGAGCCCAAGAAAGATTAAATAAGACGGAGTGGAGGAGCTTCATCGTTAGTACAATTCAGGAAATATTGTTACGGTGATAAAATGATGGACGAGATGTACTGGATATGTCGAGAGTAAGGAACAGAAGGCGAAATGCGTATAATGGTGTGGTCTGCAAACGTAACTGATGTTTGTTTTACAGTTGTATGATTCGAGTGACGTTTAAGACACATTTGGAATAATTAATTTAATTTAATTGTACGGTGAAAACGTGTGTGGCTGAGGTGTACCGATTTCATTGTCTAGAAACAACAGCACTATTGGTAAATTTTAACCTGTCTGGTTTCCCAGACTTCGAGCAACCACAGTTTGGCAAACGTTAATGCTGCGATTTGCGCTTAAGTGAGAGTCGAAGACAAATCATTGATATCGGAAAGTTAGCTTATTGGCAGTGCATCATATTCCGTACTTCACCATGAGTCAGTAACTTCCAAAGTGAATTAATAGGTCCATTTAACGACTTTGTTTCAAGTCTATGGATGCGAAGGTGATTGATTATTTTTGATGGAAATGGACAATATTGGAGAGGAAGTGACCGTGGTGTATTAAAATTGAATATGCCGGCGATGTTAGCCACGAGTTACAGAAAACCCATGAGATAATCTCGATCATAAGAAGCTGAGCCCAGTCCGAGTTTCGAATCGGAGATCTGGAAGAATGTTAGGCTGTTTACCGCGATTCCAACTGCTCTGTACGGACGGTAGGAGGAACAAGACTTAGAAGATTAGGTAATGAGAGAGAATAAAATTGATTGAAAATTTTAGGAAATAGGAAAATTGTGCGAGGAATAATGGGATGAAGATAAACAAGAATCATGAGCAAAGAGAAGATGCAGAACAGAAACAAGGGGAAAAAAACCAAGAAGAAAAAACAGTAACAGCAAAAAAGCTAACGGGAAAGTTTCGTCGCGTTGTTAATACGCTGCAAATGAAGTGAGAGAGACAGCCACCGAGCAAGAAATTGCAATTGTCGGGTCTCGGAAGTGACGACTGTGGAGTCAAGGCACTGTGCGTGCGCCGAAAGAGCTGATCACGAACTGGCACAATTAGTGCAGCAGCACTGATTTCCCATCTTATTCTAACACATTGTTTTGAAGAGAACTTAAAAAATGTTCTGGCAGCTACTGTTCTTAGCGAAGCTTGAATCTTATCTTTCGTTCGTCTCGTTCAAGTACAAAAATATATAAAAGCCTGGCGGAACTTTACATTTTAATGCCACGTCTCCAATTCCCCTGGTTTGGTTCCTTTTGTAAGCAATTTTGCGTTGAAAACCTGGAAGACAATCTCCTTCGCAGGCTTAAGCGCAGAGGAGTAGATAGCATTGACGTGGATATTAAAGAAATGGGGTGTGAAGTGGACTGGATTAAGGTGGCTCAAGATAGGGCTCGCTGGCGAGATATTGTAAATATGGTTCCATAAAAGGCGCTACCAGCTGAGCGATTATTATTTTCTTAAGAATGGTTCTGCTCCGTGGAGTTTGTGAATTACTCGGGAAAGGCATTATCTGTATAAATTAGAGCAGAGTCCTTGCTTCATTGCTTCGATTCGAATAGACTCTGTGATTAATTAGTGGCAGTGAATTGACAGGAATCGGCAAAGCGGCTGATGCAGTGATTAAGCACTTATATGCTTTGGTTTAATAACTTCTATAATCATGTTTATAAAGAGTTGAATACATTTTAATTTTTGTAATTTTTTAAGTTATGAAAGAAGTTGCGTTGCATGTACCAATACTGAGACACAAAATAATGCGAGACGCATGAATTTTACGTTGTAATTAAGTGATGATAACTCTACCTCCTTTGAGATGCAGTTGTGTCGTTATTAGCCATGAGTTTCTGTTTTTTCATGCATAAAAATTACCAGTTGCTGGTCCTCGTTCATTGGTTCTATTTAGAGTTTGTTCTACTTCTTTAGACGTCACGGATTTTGACCTCTGGTCTGTTTCCGATTCATAATTAGTTCTGAAACAAAGAATCGGCAAATTCATCTAGCGACAAAGGACAACATGAATTTTTCTCATAGTTTTGCTCCAACTACTCCAGGCAAGTTCGGAGATAGTGCGTTAAAATTGGATATCGTCGCTTTTTCCCCACACTTTTTATATTTAAAAATCCCAAGTTCACAAATATTATGTCATTAGAAATTGTGTAACAGTTAAACCACACAACACAGAAGGACGCATGCTTCGACTCGGATTCGAAACCGCAATCCGAGATCTCTGAAAGTCCAAGATCATATTAACCTTTAACCGCTCTCAAAGTTTATTTTTGTCTCGTAACTACAGAATTAACTTATTTGTATGAAATTAAAAATCTGTTGTAGGAACATTAACACGAAGACCTTGGCATAGTAAGACTGTAGTCCTCTTTTGGCCACAAAATTGAACAAATTTACTGCATGGAAAACAATGCAGTATGTAGCTGTGATTGAAAGGTTTTGAAATGAAACAGGCAAGCCACTGATTCTGTAGATCTGTTCGTTTATTCAAAGAAGTTATTCCATTCTAATGACAAAGATTGGGGGGTAACTCTGATTCGTGTCTTATGTTTTTCCATTGTTTCTTTATAATAAAAAACCTCTCGTGGTTTCAGAAACCAATTTAAGCATTTGTAAATACAATTATACACGAGCATTTAAAACGTTTTACAGGACTTCGTGATATATGAGCTTATTCATAGCCGCAGCAGCTATGCTGCTTAAAGTTAAGATTTGATTCTAAATCCAATAACTTAACAAGCGATTTTTAAAAGTTATCAGCTTTATTTGGGAAAATTTTACATTTGCGAATACTTAAATATTAGCACAAAAGTATTCTATTTTATTTAATTATCAAAGTTTTCTGCCAGACCATCGAAGTTTTAACAATTTATCAGTATTACAAGACTTACCATAAAAATCATTTATCAGGCAGTGACTGACAGCAGCCATTTTTAAACCTGTTGCTGTAGGTCATTAAACAGTTAATATAAGTAATTTAAATTCTGTGTATACGGGGTTATCACAGTCAAATTTACATTTATAAAGTGACGTTTTTAATTTTTTTTTCTGTTTAAATAATTTACATCTGTATACGTTTATTGACCTGAGGTGGGCCACTACTCAAGCTGTTTTATATTTGGAATAAAATCAGCAATTGGGTGCGACACTTTAAGTCCTGGAAAGGTGCAACATTTAAATCCAGTACAGGCAAATGCCAGTATTTGTTACGGTAAGCCCATGTAACACATTTTAATTTTTAGCCGAATTAACACAATACAATAAACAAGGCAGTTAGGTAAAGGCTAACGTGTTAGTAGTCGCAGCCTCTGAACAGATAGCGAACAGAGATTGTGTTAATATCAGAGCAATAATAATGACTACAGGATGAATGACAATGAGCATGTCCGCAGAAGTGAGGCATCAAGGTCAGCTTCAAGGCTGAAACAGTAAATATGAACGTTCAGGCAATTTCCTATGAAAAATGCTGATGTAACTAATAACACCGAAAGTTCAGTACCGCCCATGCCGAAATCTGTTGGTAGAAACGATCTTTAGCCAGTTACATCGACCACTTAGTTCTACAACCTAGTTCTCTTAAGGTATATTTTGATCATATCACTCGACTAACCCATCGTAACCACCTTGAGTTAACTGTTATAAGAATACTCTGTGACTTGTGACAGAATAGTGCCTTGAAATTAAGCCACAACTGCTTCCATCCACATTATTTCAAATTCATTTGTCATTCTATCATTTGACGTCATACGGTCTGGCTCACCGACAGCGTCGTTAAACAGTAAATAAGTAAGTAACAGGAGATAAACTGCAAAAGATTTATTTCGCTGCTGTAAGAGCATTTCTTGTCAGTTCCAAAACAGTATCTTGGGTGCATACGTGTTCTGTCTCGAATAAGCAAATTTCTTAGGCCTGCAATGTATTTATGAATTTTAGTTTGATTTTTTACTGGCATTCTATCGACAATATCAGAACTGTGCTAAATGGGGAACTTAACATTAATAAGATACCATGTTACATGTCATTAGTGTAATAACATTATTGCCGTTAACAGTTTGCTCTCCGAGACTCGCCACGCCGCCATCCCTGCACGTCACACACCTGTCCTAAGCGAACACGATTGGCGTGTACCCTGGTTTAGGCGCGTTCTGCGTCACGGAGACGTAGGACGCGGAAGTTCGGGCGGCACAGCTCGTGCCTTTGACGAGTTCCGCGACCGGCGCCCTCAGGATCCTGTAGTTCACCTCGTCGTGGTTCACGTTATTGACCATCAGGTTCTGAAACCTAGATGTCAGCGCCCACACCCACTCCTTGCCTGAGCGGTCTCGAATCACCTGAAAATATAGGATGGGAGACATTGGCCAATAATCATGCTGCTGCTTGGTTGGTTGATCAGTTTTGTATTGAAGCCTTTGTTACGTATGCGAAACTTAATCGTTTTTGACACGTCACTAACTACTTAATTAACTCCCTTCTTGATGAGAAGTTCTCTATCATTTATGGAACCGAAGATTCATTACTGTATTTACAAAATCCCCCCCCGGCCCCCAACCTGAACCACAGTTTAGTAAGTACCGTTAAATAAGCTACGGCAACGTATTTAAGTCGCCCTTTTGTTAGACTGTCAAGATTCAGAAACATTGAATCGTACCTTTAAACCACTGGCAAACTGAAATTTAACGTCATCCCGGTCCAGTTCCACAATGTTGTTTTCATTATAGGGTAGTCGTGGGTTCCAGCAGTTGAGCGAATTCTTGGACAAGACGTTGAAGAAGAGAGCAGCACCTTCGCCATCCATAGCAGAAGGAGCTGATTGGCTTGGGCGCGTGCCTTGAGAAACATAGAACTCTTGAGGAACAGCGTTAACGTTATCTTGGAAATTAGATTCGTTCCGTAGGACTGCTGTCGATACCCACGATTCTCGAACACTTGCTAGGCTGTGAAAGTACAGAGTTTTGTCTTTCTTCTTGTCATTCTGGGGAGGAGACAGCCCGAGGCCAAGTACACCGTCCATCAAGTCGAACTGCGCGTTGTTGATATCGAAGTGTCCGTTCAGAGGGTAAGGGAAGAAGTAGTTACTGACTACTCGCCAGGATTTCTCTCTGTGTGCATCAACAACAATTAGACCAAAGCCGGTGACGTCGGCTATGTAGGCGAAAGACTCCCTGCATTTTCCGTTCGCATCGAGGATGTCAGCCACAATTGTGGCCAAAATGGAGTGATCCCGAAGGACGCTGTCCGGTATTCGATATCGTAGCAGCAACTTCTTGTTCTTCAGGTTAAATACGAGGACCTGTGGCTGGCATATGCGTTTTCTTTGGGAAAAGATGTTGACCACACCACTGTCCAGCACCCATAATCGACCACATTGGTCAACCTGTAATAGACACAAAACATTAGGGCTAATCCCTCTTTGCTGCCTCAATCATCAGGGCGAAGAGTCTGTGAAGATTGTTGTTTGTTGGGTTGTGACATTGTATAGTCTTGGAGGTGTTTATCGGCTTTCAGGAGTAAAACATCGCCCCCGCCCCCATCTTCTGGGTAGGAATGTTGATAAATGCGATACGTTTCTTCGAAATGATTATAACCATATTAATTAAGTCTGTTTAGAATACCAGCACAGACAGCTGGTATTAGTTATGCGTAAAGCACTGACCTGGATTCTGAACACTGATGTGATACCGTCGCAGGAGCCCTCTCTGTGCCAGCTCCAGTCCGGGTACGGTGACAGTAATTGGCGGCCTTCTTCGGAGCGGACCACTGTGGTGAGTGTTGCTGGCACGCCGGGGCTGAAGCGCGGAATTGTCACAAACACTTGGTCCTCGCCGGTACCTGCACATTACACAAGCTGATTCAGCACAAATGCTTTGACTATGGCGTGGTTTTATAAAAGTGACCCAGGGAACAAGACCAACTCTGTTTACGGTATATGACTCGGTATGAATCTTCCTCCCTTGTTGTCAGACGACAGAAACATGCCCAGTTTTCGAAGCATCGTGTTTAAAAAAAAGTATGACGTTGGACAATGTCAGAATAATTATTATCTTTATGATATAATTTATTGGTCTTTATTCCTTTTGCAACGAGATTCGGTGAATCCTTTGTTCTGGAGTTTTATGTAATTCCAATTGGCTGATATTTTGTATTATCACATTACACTAAAATGTAAATATTCAAACAAAATACGCTCGTTAACACAATCTACAAAGAATGTTCCAGGGCTTTAACCGGCTAGTGTTTCTTGCAGAAGGCGTGGCAGCCGATAACGCTCCCGGAATTCGAACTGGGTACTTCTCGTCTAAAATTATCGTACACCATGAGACAGGTTGCGTGCGAAGGACGGGTGACGACGGTTCAGCGGCTAGAGTTGTCCGGTGCACTCACCCTGCTGCCAGCTGTCCACGTCTAGGGGATACGAGTTGCCAGGAATGTAGGCCCTTGTCTTGATTAACACGTCTCTGGCGGACTGACTAGAGAAAGTGAATTCCACATCCTTCCACTCGTAGAGCACTTCCAGTAGTCTCGCGGCCCGCGTGGGGTTCGTGGATCCCAGGAACAACAGCATCAGTACCGATAGCACTGACATGGTTCTCACTTAAGATAAAAAAAGAAAGAAAGAAAAAGAAAACATCGTAAATATCTGTCTCGGAAGGTGGAGACTTGTTTTTTATATCCTGAAAAACCCAGCAAGAATAAAATAGTTCCCACCGTCTGCATGTTTGGACTTTTTAAAACAAATTTAAGTTATTTCTTACGGTTGCTTACAGTCGGAAAGGAAACATACGCCTTGTTGCTATTTTTAGCTGTAGATTAAATTTTCCGGTAATATAAATGTTATATTTTCAGGCATCCTACGTTAAGTGGCTCATCTGAAACTTCAATCTTAACGTTTTGCGCAGATGCTATGTTGGTATTTCCGTTCAAAAACAAGTTTACGCGTTGGTATCCCAGAATGTTCTTCCCTTTAGGTCTTCTGCGTAAAATTTTATATCTGTTTCTGTTATGTCTTTTCTGTGCTACATCACCCACTAATATCGTCCTCCTGTTGGTGACATTTTATTTTATTTTATTTAGTGTTCTGTCTGACGACAGGTCCATATGAACAGGATCCTTCCATCCTTTTCTCGGACTGGGACTTGTTCATATACGTTCTTGGCAGATGATCCAGAAGTGGTTTGCCATTGCCTTCTTCTGTGTGTGAATGGAGTAATTGTTGGGATGCCACGGAGGAAAACTCCGTGTTGCCTAGACCACGGCCTTGCCCAACACAAGTTATAAATTCGGGCATATGTAACATTATTTTAAAATTAACAAGAAACGTATTTTGATGTACTAGGAGCTTCATCTCTCGCCAGGACTGGCTTGTCTCGGAGTAAATATAGTTTAGTAATAAATTTACAGACTACTAGTTTGTATGTGGACGACGTCATGACGAGACTGAGGGTACCTGCAGATCCTTGGAAATGTCTTTGCTGTTTTATTTGTCGGCGGGTCGGGAAAGGCAGAAAATTGCTGTTCTGTAACACAGAAACTGCAGCTGTGCTATTGTTTTAGGCGGTAAAGAACGTTGTACGAGTGTAGGATCTTTAAGTGTTATTTGTTGTAAGACATTTAAGAAACTGCCGTCTTTTGCTGTTGTGACTCTTATAAAATAACAATGTGGTGGCTCTTTGAAATGTATATTTGCTTTTCTGATTGATAAATATAAGTGATGAACCCTATTGGTTATGTAGCGGTACTTAAATTATAATATTTTTATTGAGATTATAGGAAGGTTAAGTATAGGTAGGGGCGAAGCAGCCTGCAGCAGACAGAAATATTAAACGTTCATCTTCCGATATCCGCTGAAGAATCGCAGAAGTCTGCAGCTAAGGCAACGCGTTATGGGCTGTTGGAGCTGCCTGTATCTTGCCCGCCATGGTTGATCTCGAACTCTTTCTAACGGAATTTCTCGTGTCAGTGAGTAATTAAAGGATGGAAATTAAATGCTGAAGTTAATTTTATAACACTGCTTACCTGGCGACTTCATTCTTGTAAAGGCACTTCTACACCTTCCGAGTGATGTTTCGTGAAACCATAACATTGCAGGTGGTAACAATAGAAAACCGTCTGAAAGTTGCTTATTAGTGCCAAAACCGAAACCACCGCTGAGCTCCGCGTTCCACCTGACGCGCGGTTATTGAACTGCATCCGTTCAGATCTGTGTACGTACGAAGATTTCTGTTTTCTGGGTTGTTGCGCTATGTAGTCTGGTCGATGTTAACCAACGTTTCAGAGGTCATACTGCCTCCATCATCAGAGTATGAAGATTTCTGTCTTCTGGGTTGTTGCGCTGTGTAGTCTGGTCGATGTTAACCAACGTTTCAGAGGTCATACTGCCTC